CTGTAGAGTTTTATTGATTGATTGACTGATTGATTGTTGAATCAAAATCAATTACACATATTTTGGGGGTTGAACATTGAGATATGTTGATCAAATCAATATTACTAGCATATATATTGTTACAAATCATAATTATTGGGAAAACTGGACATCCATGTGTAGAAGAATGAAACTAGACTCATACCTTTTGCCATTTCCAAAGCCAACTCAAAATGAAATAAAGACTTAAATATACATCCTGAAACTATAAAACTCCTAGGAGAAACATAGGGGAAATACTTCAGGATATAGGACTGGACAAAGACTTCATGAATAAGACCTCAACGGGGCCGGCCCAGTGGCGCACTGCTACAGTGCGCCGCTTGGGAATGCGGCGGCGCTTCCGCCGAGGGTTCGGATCCCACATACAGACCGGCTGCTCACTGGCTGAGCGAGGTGCGTGCGCAACACCGAGGGTTGTGATCCGTTGCCGGTCATGAAAAAAGACAAAAAGGAAAAAAAAAAAAAAAAAGACCTCAAAAGCACAGGCAAGAAAAGAAAAAAATAAACAAACCAAAAAGCTTCTGCACAGCAAAGGAAACCCGCAGAGTGAAAAGACAACCTATGGAATGGGAGAAAATATGTGCAAACTATACATCTGACAAAGGATTAATATCCAGAATATACAAGGAACTCAAACAACTTAACAGTAAAAAATCAAATAATCTGATTAAAGAATGAACAAAGGACAAGAAGAGACATTTCTCAAAGGAAGACATATGAATGGCCAATAGGTACATGAAAAAACGCTCAACATCACTAATCATCAGGGAAATGCAAATCAAAACCACAGTGAGATATCATCTCACCCCAGTTAGACTGGCTATTATAAAAAGGAAAATAACAAATGCCGATGAGGATGAAGAGAAAGGGGAACCCTATACACAGTCGTAAATCAGTACAACTATTATGGAAAACAGTATGGAGGTTCCTCAAACTACAGATGGAATTACCATACAATCCAGCAATCACAATACCGTGTATATACCCAAAGGAATGGAAATCATCATGTTGAAGGGATACCTGCACTCCCGTGTTTATTGCAGCTCTATTTATAATACTAAGATAGGGATCCAACCGCAATGTCCATTGATGGATGACTGGATAAGGAAAATGTGTATCTACACAATGGAATATTACTCAGCCATAAAAAAAGAATGAAATTCTGCAATTTGCAGCAGCACAGATGACCATGGAGAAAATTAGAAGTGCAATAAGCACAGAAAGAGAAATACCTCACTCATAATTGAGAGATAATAAGGAAGGAAGGAAGGAAGGAAGGAAGGAAGGAAGGAAGGAAAGAAGGAAGGAAGGAAGAACAATCCTAATAATATGTTGAACTTTCAGAAGGAGAGAACAGAACTGTGGTTATTTGAGGTAGGGAAGGGGGAGGGGGTTTAGTGAGAAATTGGTTAATGGACATAAACAATGATTATGCTTTTTAATGATGAATATACTAATTATCCTAATTTGATCATCACATATTGCACTCAGGTATTCAACTCTGTACCCCAGAAATATGTATAATCAATTATGTTTCAATTTGTAAAAATGTCAATAACATTAAATATTGAGTTATCACATGAGCCAGCAATTCTACTCCTGGGTATGTACCCAAGAGAATTGAAAATGCATGTCTTGTACATGAATGAAAACTTGTACATGAATGTTCATAGCGGCATTGTTCATAACAGCCAAAATGTGGAAACAACACCAGTGTCCATCAACCAATGAACGGATAGATAAATGTGGTCTATCCACACAGTGGAATATTATTCAGCCATAAAAAGGAATGAAGTACTGATAAGTGCTGAAACTTGATAACATGATGCTAAGTGAAAGAAGTCAGACACAAAGGCCACATATTGTGTGATTCCATTTGTATGAAGTGTCTCCTCAGGCAACCTCCCAGGTAGCTAAAACCAAAAAGCTGGATGAGGGTCACAGGCATTCAGGTCCGTGGAAAGGAATGTCGCCAAAATAAGCCACTTGAGAGTTATTGTAGAGTGTGAGCCTCTCTGCTTGTCTGGATGGAGATCAGGTTCCAGATGTGCAGGGATGAGGACCAGACCCAGGTCAATTCAAGTGACCATGAGGATGTCTCTTAATGACCACCTTTGCTTTACCTCTTACCTCCATCAATCTTGAAAGCACTTGGGGGGATTTGTCCAACCAGATGAAACCAGGGTCTCTACAGCCCACTTTAGGAGGCAGAATAATCCCCAGGTATTATTCTGTCCACCTGCTGGGCCCCCAACCCTCACACTGCCAATGCACATTGTCCTTTACTCCCACCTCAAGATTACTGCCACGTGTCCTCATTAAATCTCTGTGCTGAGCCTGAAATTCACTAGAAAAAGAGAAAAGCCCATGAGAGGGGGGTCAGAAAGATTCAACCCCACTATAGGCAGACAGTCTGGGGAAGGAAGAGGAACTTAGACCACGGGATGATAACAACACTGTGTAACGCATGCACTTGCCATGTTTTTCAGCTAACAGTGCCCCACTTTCACAGCGTCCACCCTATCCATCCTTTCCTGCAGCTCTGGGTTGTGGGCAAGGCTATTCTCAAATCCATATCACTGGTAAAGGAGTTCAGCTCAAAGAAGGTGACTCGGGTCTATTTAGAACCAGGTCCAGAATCCAGGCTCTGCATAGATGGTGTGGTCTTTGGTGTACCTCCTCCCCACCCTGGGCCTCAGTTTTTATGTCTGTGAAATGGATGATGTGTGACCTCCCTCCTTTCCGTTCAGCCCTGGCTTTCTGTGACTCTGAGCCTGTTTCTGTGACTCGTGCTTGTTTTCCTACACCCAGTTCAGGCCATTCTAATCACTGACCAGGCTGTGCTGCCTGTACCAGCAGAGAATTCAAAACTGGGGGACTTGCTGCCTCAAAATATCTATAGGTAAAGAAGTCAATGCCCTAAAGCTTGTCCCCAGGAGGCAAGATGCTCACAATGAGAAGGATGGGGGCAGATGCTGGGGCCCAGTGATGGGTTGGCAAACTTCAGATGGAGATGACTGGGAGGCAGGAAGTTCTGCCCTTTGTCCACCCTCCTGGGCAGGTTTCACAAGGAGGTCCCAACACAGACATTGAAGGTCCTGTTCCCTCAGGCACAGGAACTTGGCCTGTGCCCCGTGCATGGGTCTGTAGCCCTGGAGCAGGGCAGGAAGAGGCTGTATCTCTGCTGTGTTCTCCAGGCTGTTTCTTGTTTGGTGTTCCAGAGCCCTGAACATCTCTGCTTGTAAGGATGGAGGCCAGGCCCACAATGCGTGTGATTCCATGGGCTGAGCAGTGTAACTCTAACCTTAGTGGGAGACATCCAGGCTGTGGGGGTGTCAGCAGCAGCCTGGGACTTCAGCTGAAATGTGGCTCAAGCCACGGGGTCAGTGCTACAAGTGACCAGAGTCCATGTGTCCCTCAGGGGCTTCATGGAGGCTGCACAGCACATCCACTCTGACCACGATGGGCACAGATCCTTAACTAATGTGGTGAGCACTGTGGGACACTTGAACCTGGGGTCCAGGTGAGAATGAAATCCCTGCCCCCTGCCACCCCCCCCCCCAGTGAATGACAGAGGCTGGGGTTAGAATACTTGAAGCTCTTTTTAAAATTTTTTTATTTTTTAAAAAGATGACCGGTAAGGGGATCTCAACCCTTGACTTGGTGTTGTCAGCACCACGCTCAGCCAGTGAGCGAACCGGTCATCCCTATATAGGGATCCGAACCCGTGGCCTTGGTGTTTTCAGCACCACACTCTCCCGAATGAGCCACAGGCCAGCCCAGAACACTTGAAGCTCTTGACCCCTCTTTCTTTCTCTAGGATTTTGGGGGAATCTAGACCATTACCTAAATCTCTGTTCTTTCTCTCCCAGGCCTTTTCCTCCACTCCCACCACTGGCTGCATTAGATTGGGCAAGAGAAAGAGAAGCCCTACACCTCTTCAAGAGGAAAGTCCCAAAGTCCCACCCAAGCCCAGGCTGTCCTCTCCTACTCCCTCAGGCTGATCCTGAGCCTCATCTAGGACTCTGGGCCCAACCTCCCCTGCCCCAGTGGCTCCCCAGGGCGGCAGAGTCTGGTGAGGTCTCTAGATCCAAATAAATGAACCCCACAAGGTGAAGTGAAGGTTCTTTGACAGGTGGGTAGGGGAGATACTGAGGCCTGGAATTTCTCAGAGCCCTTGGAAAGCACCAAACAAAGGCAGCTACCTCAAATGAGGATATCCCTTCCAGGCCTTTCTACCGTGTGTGGCATCACTCTGAAAGCCCCTTAACATTAGGCTAAAGCAACAGGCTGCACATAGCCCCTGCTGGAATGCAAGTGACCCAGGCTGGGTAACCCATCCCAGGCAGTATAAACCTTAATAGCTTGCTATCACTTGATAAATCAAAGAGCACTGATCAAAAATCAGAGGTCTCGGGCCGGCCCGGTGGCGCACTGGATAAGTTCGCCGCTTGGGAAGTGCAGCGGCGCTCCCGCCCGAGGGTTCGGATCCCACATACAGACCGGTTCCCGCTCACTGGCTGAGCGAGGCGCGGGAGCAACACCGAGGGTTGCGATCCCATTGCCGGTCCCTGGTCCGGTACGGGGGCAACACTGAGGGTTGCGATCCGTTGCTGGACACGGAAAAAGACAAAAAAAAAAAAAAAAAAAATCAGAGGTCTCATTAACAGGCTAATTTTAACAAAAACAGGCAGCAAGAAAAGTGTGTGTGGGCTTTTGAACTAAACAGAGTTGTTTAAATGCTGCGCAAGTCACCTAACCTTCTGCCTGAGCTTCCAATCGTGCACAGTAGAGCTTAGTACAACACATGGGACACGAGGATTAGTCAATAAATGGTGTTGACTGTCTAAGTCTTAGCAAAAACTTCTATATTCATGCTTCACTCTGGAAACCAAAATAATATACAGATGGATCAAAGATTTAAATACAAAATGAAATTGCAAAAGTTTTAGAATAACAGGTGAATTTATTAGAATCTTAAAATGGGAAAGGCCTAAGGAGGACTCAAACCTTATAAGCCATAAAGCAAAAGATTGAGAAGTCTGACCTCATAAAAATACAAAACTTCTCTGGGTGAAAACACCCTTAAAAATTCTGAGGAAGAAGAAAAAAGTCAAACTATGGAGGAAATGTTGCAGGCATTTGATGAAAAGGTAATTTTTCTTTTTTTGTTTTTTAAATTTTTATTTTGTCAATATACAATGTATATGATTATTATGGCCCTTTACCGACACCTCCCGCCCTCCTCCCTCTGTCCCCTCCCCCCCAAGAATGTCCTTTCCGTTTGCTTGTTGTAACAACTTCAAAAAAAAAAAAAAAAAAAGTATAGTAGTTATATCTTCTTCCCCGCCCCCCCTCCCGGTTTTTTTTTTGTGTGTGTGTGTGTGTATGTGGGTAAGTTAATTTGTTTATTTATTTCTGTTTTTTTTTTTTTTTTTTTTTC